TATTGAAACCATTCTGGTATCCGCTCAGTACCTTCTAGTATCCGTAGTCCAACTGACGCGGACACACAACTGAAAATCAATTTAGTTCACAAGCAACCACTGGTAAAACATTTCTAATCGCGAAAACGTTGTCCCCGATTTGCCGGTTCCGGTAGACGATCGATCGGTTTCGATTGATAGAAACCCCAACTCGCCAAACATGGCCCCCTATACCTATACCGTATGTATAGCGCAGAACAGTCCGCCACGACACCTTAAGATATCCTAACACACAGGGAAAATACCGATCACCCACTGCCTGTGTGAACTCCCCATACGGGCTTGCTGCGGGTTGCACCCTACGGTGGCGTGCTCTGCGATGTTCTTGCGATGCCGGCAGCACAATGGCTTCGCTATATAACAACGTCGTTGTGGCGGCCCCATCCATCACCCGGACGAATCGCGGATTTTGCGCGTAGATGCGTGTGGTACAACTTACCACGCGCACCCGAAAAAGCCCTCAACTTGCTGCGAGATAGCAGAACGATCTACGAAACGCTCCTCATGAATTGTCAGGTTAAACGGCCAATAAAGTAAAATTGTCGAGTCCAAAGAACCAAGTCCCATAGATCAGTACTCCGCCGAGTACCCGAAAAGCCCTACAACTCGATACCGAGATAGAAGAACGATCTACGAAACCCTTTTCTCACGAATAGCCAGGAAAAAGCGGCCAATAAAACAATAAAACAAATTGTGTGAGTCCAAAAGCCGTCCATCGTTGTTCACAAATCACCCCCAATGTCTCGAATCCATCGAATGTTCAGATGCCAGACTACTATTTACTCCTCTGTAATCCACCAATTCACGAAGGTCAACTATAATCAACCCTCTCGCAGAAATTATCGTCAACAAAATCCCTCTTCAGCAATCGAAAAAAAAAGACTGCCCCCCCTTAACGGTATCGAAGACGGCCACGAATTCGATGGGATGACATGGGGCACACTGATACCAGACCTTCTAACGGACAATGGTAACAACACGTGTCGCCGGAAACGCGTGCTGGCGCCTAGCTGTGTCAACTATAGTACGGAAAAAGGAATCTATCCTTAGGTAAACCAAAGCTTCAGCTTATCGACCACTCAAATCAAGTCGAAGCACTTAGACTTCAACCATGCCTAAACATCAAAACGTGTCAAGCAAATCCTTCCTACAAGACACCGAGAAGAGTGAATTACGGTGAAACGAACAAGAGTCGGGAACACACTGTGTGTACCGCGCCAGAGGGCTTCCCCGACCGGTGTGCTACCGTTTTTCCAACAACTTAAAACAACTGAACAAGCGTAGGTCGATCGTCAAACAGCCTCCCGTCTGTTCCATCTTCCCTGTAACATGAAATTGAACCCATCCACACTATTTTATCCTCATCTGAATCGCAAGAAAACATGTCTCGAACCCCACCAACCAGTGATTCGCTCCTTTCCGTAGCAACTGCGCCACAGTACAACACGAATCCTCAGTCATTATCATTCTCACAACCAAAGTATTATAACAAGTCAAACATCTTCGACACCGCAGGTGAATCGCGGAAACACAAACAACAACCCAAACAAGACAAGTCAGTCCGAATGGGCCCGAACTCTACTTGTACTGCCGCGAGGGTCATGACAAAATATTCCTCCTCCAACACGATATTGTGTGCAGGGGTATCGCCGCGTGTACCTTGTTTTTCACGATACCACGCTCACGGGCTCTTGTCGAGAAGAGCGTCTAGCAAAGAACAGGAGTGACTCGACTTTCTCTTCGACGTCGAGCGAGAGGCATGAGCGAGGCAGGAAGAACCTTGCTCGTCATGTCCACCATACCCGTGACGTGGCCCCAGGTGGGGGCGTATCAGTACGCTGCTAAGCTCCGCCAAACAAGGGTAACCTTTCAAACCGGTCCAGCCTTGCCTGCCGACATTGTGTCCGGTAAAAAAACAAATCGAACAAGAGTGGCACAATTACTTGTACTCTAAATCCCGCCCCAAACAGAGATGGTAGTCATCAACACATTCCCCTGTCTCTGTTTTCTTTCTCGCGCCATCAGTACAAAACAATTCTGTCCACCGGTAGACTGCCGCTTCTGAAATACACGCTTGACCAGCCTACAGTGGTGACCTGTACTTTGGCACAGCAATTCGGCAATTCGTGCTGTCGTTGACAATAGGTGGAAGAGATTCTGATTGAGTAGGCGCGAATTGCTTCGAGGCACATAGCACGACATCGCCGGCATTGCAAGAGCCCATTCAAGTTCAGAGCCACCTGGGTGACTTTTCATGCAGAGTGGGGCTTGCGACAGAGACCGTTGGTCACGTCTTCTGCATAGGCGGCCGCGTTGCGAGCGGTCATTTTACACCATGTCACCCCCCAGCCTTTGGGAATGCACGGGCCGGTGACCTCGGTTGTCTTCGCAGGTGGCAGGTCGCCAACAACACACCGGAAGGAGCACGTCGACAGAAATCAAGAGCAGGGACAGGTATCAGGTGGTTTGACTTCACAAGTAGGCCCGAAAGGACAGAACAGAAGTAGTAAAACAATGTGTTGGTGTTGTTGTTGACAAGCAAACCCTACCCGTCAGAACATGAAGCCCTTGAACAATCCGTGATGCTCTTCCTGTTCAACAACGAATGTCAGAAGCGAAACCATCCTCAGCTTGGAAGCTGGTGCCCGGTACGGATCCGACAGTTCCAAACGCAAGGAATATGCCACGGTGGTTGATTCGTCGATCGAGTGCTAGGATGCGTGGCCAAGAGACTAAAACGAATATATTTTTTTCGTTCTGGTGGGGGAATTCTCCATTGAAACTGGAGACGGCACCAGAACGGGAGCGTTTATGATCCCGCATGCTGATTTGTCTATATTCAATAGTCACCGCAAGGCTATGACGGTGCCAACAACACGGTTCTTGCCGTCTACCGCTGCGCCCACCTGTATTTGGTCGTTCCGGTTGGCGGCGGTCTTTTTGATTCTTGAGTAAATCGCTGCACCGAAAACCATCCCGGTGTCCACATACACCGGAATCGCGAGAGCTGCAAAGAAACCATGCACAGCATGCACGAATCACCGAAGTTTGGTTGCTGTGGACATGATATGGTCGAGAACAGTATTCCGAGGACAGCCACTGCGTCTTATACGAATATTCAGTTTGGACGCAGCCAGCCCTCTCGCCGTGGAAACGCGAACAACATCTTCTCGACGGTAGTCTTAGTTGATACCGTTGTTGTTGTTGTTGTTGTTTAGGACGTTGTAGGTGGAAAACCTCTCCTCTCCGTGGACCCCGAACGGTCGTTGACGAAGTGGCGTACTCGAGGAAACAAGAGTTTCATGTGGACACGTGAATATCCGACATGTCTCAAGACATTCTCTACGAAAGAACCGTCGGCGGGGCAACTCGTCTACAGGACAAATCAGCGTGCGGGCTGAAAGCTGCCTGCCTGTGTTTCCTACCGATCAGCAGTATAAGCTCGAAGCATCCCACGGCCGTCTCCATCCTCTCCGCGTGCACGCTGTCGCCTTCCGCCTCCGCGCCTACGAGCAAGACCATGCAGAAGGCGTTGACACCCACCCGGCACGCCGCCATGGACTCGACGACCCTGCCGCGAACGACAAGAATACCAAATACATCAGAGATGTCGTTTCGCGAGGTTTCGTGGTGGACTGGAGAGTAACTCTGCGCAAAATCGGCAGGTTTCACAGACGTGTGCCATGCCCAGGTGCTATAAAAATACAATTCTCACACCTGTTCTGCGATAGTGGGCGCATGAAGCTATCCCAATAGCTACCTACGGCGGATCGATACGCATATTCGCATAGGTTTCCGGTTCTACCGTGGAGGCCGATATGAGTTAGCTGCTTGCGACGGCCGTGCTTCAACACACACACGTTGACAGACTTCCATGTACACCCAACATCGTCCGCTCCGTACTCGCTTGTACCTGTTGGCAAAAGGCGTGAGGCGCACCACAAGAACGAGCTGCACCACGTTCAACCCCAGGAAAATCAGCAGTTGCACCTGGCTGTTGTCGATCAACACTCCGACGCCCGCTATCACAGCTGCCTGTGAAGACGGGGGGATCATGCATGTGTAGAACGGGGATCACACGGGACGACGTTTACTTCGCAGTAGGACGCAAGAACGGCGCTAAAAGGGTAGAGACTAACAGAGGTGAACAGCGATAACTACTGTGTGCGTATGTCTACGCTATGTGCCAGGGCGTGACGAATCTATCCAGGCGCGCACCTCCATTAGAGCGTACACTGCAAACCAGGACCCAGCCTTGGTATAGTCCACGAACAGCGGCTCGAAGCCGATGCGGAACCAGTTCCTCAGCCTCTGCTCCTTCGTGTCTTCATTCTCGACAGTCCTCCACGCGCCCTTCTTGGCCCACGCGAACGCACTGTGATCCTCCTCCAAACCTGGAGCAAAGGGAGAGGTTCGGCCGAACGGAGGGGCAGACCGACGTACAACGATAGAGCGATTGCGGTGTTGTCGTGTTTCCCGACTCGTCTCTAGTGGACAGAGAACGTGAAAAGTACAGAACATCTGTTGGTGGTGATTTATGTTCTTGAACTGAGCAGTGCAGGCATGTAGCCGTCGTGTAGTCGTGGTCGTGCTTTGCCCCCCTGGTGTGCACCTTTTCGAACTCTCGAGAAGAAGCCTCGGCAGCCCCTTTGGCCATTGGTGGTGTAGTAGGTGTCCTTCTGTGTCACAGCGAAGGCCAACCCCGTGGCGACGGGAGGGAGAACTCGAACGAAAATGACTCGAAGCATCACCCCGAGCACCAAGACCGGGTACACGACCTGCAAGGAGAGGAAACATGGCAGGAACACCGGTTTGACGCGAAAAGAAGCCCGCTCAACGCGAGAGAATCGGGAAAGAAGGAAACCTCGAGGAAAGCGGGGTCCACGCCCCATCGTTAGACCTCGGCAGGGTCGCGGGTGCCAAGCTCTGGTTTTGCAGGTCCCGGGTCACTGTTTACCCCAATCACAAAATGAAGGCCGCCTCCAAACGAACCACACTTCACAATCTTTCGGGTAGAGGACAACGGTCCAGAATAGGCTTGCAACGCTTCGTTAGGTGACCATATTCCGTGTTCTCCCCCTCAGAGCGATATCGTCAGTGTGTGTACGGTACACGTTGTCTCAGTCAGGGTGCCAAAGGCCGATTCTTCCCGTTTGGTACGCACAACGCCTGCCACGTTCTCCAGGTCCGCTGCGCGTAAACGAAAAAAAACATACACGAAGGTATGAGGTAACGTCCGCGTCATTCTCACCAAGGCGATTGCTGCCACGGGTACGAGGGCGCCGCTGCCGTGCCGCAGGACATCAATCTGCGCCGCCAAGGCTCCCTGGAACGCGTAGAGGATGAACAACAGCTCAACGTGAGGGAAGTGAATCCAGAGTGACTTGGACCGATCCCGGCACTTGGCTACCGGCCCCAGCCCATCATCTCCAGCTTCTTCTCCCCCGGCAGAACGTGTGCCTTCCGCGCCAACGTTGACGTTGTCAGCAGCACCGTCCGGTGTCGTCACCATCTGCTCGTAGCTCGGAGGAAGTCCTTGAGGCGGTGGCCCTTCCACCGATGCGGCTTGACCGCCCGGTTCGATCGCCACCTGCTCATAGCTCGGAGGAGGCTCTTGAGGCGGCGGTCCATCCGCCGAGGCGGCTTGATGAACACCGCTTTCTTCAAATCCAGCACGAGCCTCCCGTAGGTTGTCACGTTTCTGGCAGCGAACGTGGATGCGAGAGGGCCCTGGTAGGTTCAACGAGAATGCCCCAGAACATGACACCATACGAACAAGAACGAAAATGCTTTTCGTGCTTCACTTTTCACACACCGAGACGGAACCAGTCTCCGTCCCGAGCAAGCTGTGTGTCCATGAAGGAATTGCCTGACGGTTTGTATTGCTCATTTTTCAAGTGCGCCCGCTGTGCCAGCACAGCGCAAACGAGCAATACTGAGCAAGATTGAAGCTGGACAGGAGGAGGAGCTTCACGTGCTTTCGTGTTCGAACACGTCGAGGACGTCAGATCGTGTGTGTCTGTTAAGCGACACACACACTTCAACCCTTGGTATCTCGCACCGTTTCCCTGATCACAAGCAGTCTGATGCCTCGGGCGCCGCACAGAATCGTCATATTAATACCACCGTATACTGCTTTGTTCCATGCTTCCTGCCTCTCATTTTACGGCCGGTACTTGTGCTGCTCTATGAATATGCTTGAACATTTGGGCCTTCAGGTTTAACAAGACTATCAGACGACCTTGTAAGCAATGATCGCGGCCAGTCCATGACGATAAACCTCTTGCCTTCATGACCTCACGACAGCGTGTTACATACGTGCGACGGTGGACCTCACGTGAGATGCCGTTTAACTAAAGCACTGTTATGTCGCTAGCGACGCATGTGCATAGTTTTCATCAACATGCACGTTAGTGTGCAGGAATCTCGCGCACTTGATGTCATCGCTCATGCATCCCTGTACCATAGTCTGTGGTGTTTAATGTGATTGGTGCGGGTGAGAAACCTCCGTGTGAAAGTTGCATCTGATTATTCTATGAGTCGAGTGTACGCAACTCTGCCAACTCAGCGAGCTACTCAATCCATCCACCATCTCGATACAACCCAGGGCCCACAAGGCCAGCCAAAGGTATGTTTCGCACTGGTTAGTGTATGATGTGGCGAGATCGCAATTTCCCGATATTGTTGACCGAACTGCTCTACCTTGAACTAATAGTGCCTGCCAGTCCCAAGCACATCGAATTCGAATTCACAATTCTAGTTGTGCAACAACGCTATCCGGAATCATTTCGCTGGACGATATCCATGAAACTGTTAACGAAACCCAACCTCATCAGCTACATCGATCGATCGAAGCACTGCCATTGACAAAGCGGTCACTTTTCAATATGCAAAAAATAGGCACAATTAAACGAGCAATGACTCTCTCATTGTCAACAAGGCCAAAACGCACCCTTCTCTGTAGCCACCACGCCTCGATCGCAGACACGAGCAGGAGATGAACCACCAGGATTAGGAAACCCAAGCACAAAAACAGCACCAGGTTCCCGAGGAAACCTTCCTCGTCGATGTCGTTGTTCTTCTCGGCGTAAGTATCGTCAGAGTCCGCCCCGATCCGGAGCCAGAGATTGATCCACCTTGTTCAACGTGCGGTTGGGGTGCAGTACGCACGGTAGGGACCGAATGCTAACCGCTTGCTACCGACGTCCACATATGCTTTCATGCGTACTTAGGGGGTGTGCTATCGAGCTTGACTCTGCCATCGGTGCCACATACCGTTCAATGACAACTACAAGCACCACGGACTCCCTCGAGCAAGGTTCGGAGTCACGCGAAATGTTGACTATAGAGCTGTCCTGACTGCGCGAGCGAGCGGTCCCAGCTCCCTGAAAACCTGAAACTGAATCCTAATTCGTGATGTAGACGGGCGGTTCAAAGTTGAAGCAATCTGTGCCGGTCGCCCCGGTGGTCTAGTTGGTACCCTCGAAACCTTCTAGAGGTCAGGTCAGGGGTTCGAATCCCGGCGTAAGCGAGCTTTTCTTGCAAAGTGAGTTTTTCTCTCGCTTCCGTTCCTGGCCTAGTGGATAGCGCTAGTTCGTCTGTACACAGAGGGAAGAGAGTGCTGAACTCTTCTCGCTTCAAAATCGAAAGCAACGTACCGCAGGAGGGGCGGGTAGAGAGGGGCCCTTCTGTGTGTCCACGGGTTGGAGTAAACGGCACTACTGCTGTGAGCGCTGATTTGAAGTGAAGACAAAAAATAAAAAGGAAAAACTAATATGTGGAACGATGTCAATGTCACTCACATATAAACGCGGGTATCGGAGAGACGCAGTCTGGGACACTTACGCATACTACCAATCAGAAAACGTATGTACCTACACAAAGGGACTTCGTTGTCATAGAGCAGGTTTTCGTTGGGAGATGGTACGATTACTGTTGTATTATTTCTCGTGGCGTAAGATCATTTAATCTAAGTATTGGATTTAGGATGAGGCCTCCAGCTCCGGCCTTTGGTCCCACCCATACTTTCCTTGTCCCGTCTTCTTCGCGACCACTGACCTGGAGAGTGGTTGAGTCACCCAAACTTTCGTATGTTCAGCTATGGGATTAAAGCGGCGTACGGGGGGGGCATACGCTGCAAAGGCGGCCCCCAATGCCAGAGACAACGGCTCCTCGTGGAAAGCCATAAGTTGGCCGCCCCCCCGCCGTGTGAAGGACGGCCCAATGTTTTATAGTTCTTCACCATCGGCTCCGGTCTCTAACCCCCATCGGCATCGGCGCGGCAATGAATCTGTAAATGATCCTGAGGCTTTGAGCCTCAATACAACATTAGCTGTAGGGTGGGTGGGGTGGTCTCGAAAATATTTCTTTCCTATCATGTGTTCTCGCGTATTCATGGTAGGGAGAAAGATAATAATCGGCTGTATGCAAATTTCAACATGTTACCGGGACAGACGCCTACATCCGTTTTCGTGCCGAATTTGAACTCGTTTTCAGACCCGATTTTACTGTATGAGTGCTTCTGACGCTGGCTTTCATTTCTCTTGGTGTCGTCAGCAAAAATCCCAAACACAACACCCTCAGCAACCACGTTCTCTATCTTGATCCAGCAAGAGACAACAACGCCATGATTCCAGGTTAGAGCGTGACGATGCACAAACACGAGCATGACATACACGACCAAAGCTTATGCATCGGGACAGCTCTGAATAACAACTTCGGTACATGGAATGGTGCGGGAAATCATGCAAGAGGAGGGGAAACAAACGAGCCCATCAGTGTTCGAGAGAAGGCGGACCATAAACAGCATCTTTTACGAAACTTCAAACCGGCTACTACTGTTGCAGACAAGCGCTAAGAGTCATGTAGCAGACAAGCCACGTGTTTCTCGTTCCGTGACGCGATTGGACTTTCTCACTCGTATGAGACGAGCTCGTTTCGTTATGAACTCAAACTATATCAGATCAGGTGGGAAGTCCTGCCTGCCACTTTCGTTCGCTTTTGATGGATTCCGCCCTGTACTCCAACAAGCACAGATGCATACGCATGCTCCCCTTTGTGCCTAACATGGAACTATGAATGAAACGCGAGTTCCCAACGAAGGTAATTCTTTCTTCAGGGCCACTCTTTCTTCAGTCCCAACAGGCCTCACCT